TGACTTTTGGTAGCACATTCATATTGATTTAAACTCCAAAAATATATTGTAACTAAATTTATGTGGTAATATTAGAAAAAAATGAAAATTATATAAGAAATTTATAAAGATGTCCACATAAACATCTTTCCAGCATTGCACAAGTATTATGCCTATTGTGCATGCTTGATCCAGTGCTAAAATAACTGAAAAGAATCAATTTAAGATAATTTAGCATAATAAGAAAAATAATCTGACTGTAGAGGATAAAGACAACAATGCAAATTAATATAAAAAGCGAGCTTTGTTTTGTTAGAGAACACGTTAAAGATGACTGCCTTCAGTGGCAATTCAAAGACGTAGTATATGAAATGATGATACCAAAATTACAGTCTTATGTATTTCTAATTTGCTAACATCAAGCAACACTGCTGGATATGCATCACACACTCGCTAATTCTTTAAGGTGATCCCACAGAAAAATTCAGATGGTCAAGTTTGGGGAACATAGTGACATAGAACAAAGCTGTATTGTCCTATCTGGTGGTTGCCAAATTGCTCTAAAAGCTACTGATGTATGTCTGTACAGAATGAAATGGTGCACTATTCCATAGTTGTTTTGATGTGTTTGATATTTGAGATCTTGTGTGGCATTTAATTTTTTAAATTTATTTTTAGTGAGAGTTTCTTTGAATAAATTTGTAATTAATTAATTTGTGGTTTGTAATTAATTCTGTATCAGTAGTGTCACTGGTTGTGATTGTTGTGTTAGTGTTTTCATTGGTTTGTATTATGCTGTGTACATTTTTATGAGTGACATTTCCATTCCATGGATCATAACCATGTTAACTTTTTCATTGTTTTGTACTATGTTTTCTTTGGTCTTTAGCTCTTTTGCCATCAATCATTACATTTTTAGTTTTTCTTCTTGGTGGCACTCTGATTTTCATTTGATATTTCCAGAGTAATGCATTTGACTATCCCGCATTTTTCTTGAATGGATTCGGGATTACTTTCAAACTTCCTGTTATATAGCTGTTTGTTATTTTATCTTTTATCATGACTCCACATATTTATTTCACCATACCCATTTCAGTTATATGCATTTTCCATTCTGTTTCTTTCTAACAGCATAGTGCTCTGACCAAACCTGTTGTAGTTGTGTCAATAAGTCTTCTTCAAGCCATTCATCCACTGTTGTGTTTATGTTCAGATATTGGTCACTATTCAGTATCATCAATATAGGACAAAGAAGCTGCTCATCCCAAATTCCATACCCAATGTTTAGGGTAAAACACATTTGGTGTTGCATATATCCTGTACATCATAGAACATGCTCTGCCCAGTAGTGAACACCGTGACAGTTATACACTTCATTCTGGGAAAAAGATGCCGAAAGAAGTTGTGGTTCATCATGTTGAACCACTCAAATAGTTGTGCAGCATCCTCTACATATTGTACTGGTTAGAATGGAATGGATTCATTCATGGTGATGTAATATCTGGTGTATTTGTGTCTGATGCAGTCCATAACGTAACCAAACCTTTTCTGGAAAGATCTTTTTTGTCCCTGGATAGATGCACACCCAGTATACTCAATAAAGAAAACTTTAAATAATTATGTGTGGGATTTTTTTAACTCAAAAACTTTCTGGATTTGCTGGAGAACTTATTTCAAGAAAACATCAATATTTCTATAAAATAACATATGAAATTTAGAGATTTTATAGAAAAAAACAAATTTACAGATTGTTTCATACATCTTGGCCAGGCATAGTACTTGGTTGGAATTCTGTAAGTTTTATGAAGTTCAAGAGTCACTTTTTGGTAACACAGAGATATTGCCACATCAATTTGTTCCCTTCACTAAATGAATAGACTAGTTCCTGCTGCTGTGCATTTTTACAGCCCAGCCAAATTCATGAAACGAATTGTATAATCTTGTCTGCACATAAACTATATATTGTGCACATGATATGAATATGATTTATACTTTAAAACTATTCTGAGTGATTCTCTTTATTATTAAACTTATTATATACTTTTTATACTATTTCAGCATTATAAAGCAGTTAAATAATAAAAATGCTTAAAAACTTTCACGAAGGATCCTTTAATAAACTTTTTTAATTGTTCTAATTGTTACAAAATAATTTCAAAATTAATATATTTTTTAGTTTTTATGGAAATCATATACAGCGGAACCTCACTTAACAAGCACCTCACATAATGAGCAAAACAAATTTGTAAAAAAATTACTTGCTTAACAAGCAACTTTTCACATAATGAGTGATAAGAAAGGATGTCCAGGATTGTGCGTATGTTCCATCAGTCTGAGTTTTGCACTCGTTCCACTAGCATCTTAGTGTTGCTTGTGATCACACGTTTTTCCAAACTTATGTTCAGACATATTACATATAAACATCAACAACCATAGCCCATTATATAATAAACATGCCAAACGATATGCCAAGTTCTTAGGCTATGTAAAGGCTATAATTAAATATCAGAAATTAATTAATTTGATTACACATAGGCAGTTATGCTACCATCTCGTATCTACAATCATCGCTAAACCCGATGTAATAGCTAATCTCCAAACGTACGCCGTAAATCCATCGGGCTAGTTTTATGGCTAATTACTATATTAATTACATAACGAATTTGGTACTAGAGGTAAGCGTTAGGCGCCATCTCTTATTAATATTAATAATTATAAATAAATTAATTAATTTAAATAATTTAGAACCGCTGGGAGAAAAAATCGGCCCGGAGCGGGACTCGAACCCACAACTCCTGCTTACCGTGCAGATGCGTTGCCAATTACGCTACCTGGACCTCCAGTACGATCTCCTCTTCCAGCGTATAACTATGTAACCATCGACGGTTATTACAATGCCGGCTGGGGACACATTCAGTGCCCACGTCCTACTCCTATACGGCACTCAACCGCTAGCCCGATGGATTTACGGCGTACGTTTGGAGATTAGCTACCATCTCGTATTAAATTTAATGACCAATTCCAGAAATGTCTAAATTATAAATAATTAATTTTTAATTAATAATGTAATGAGCCTATGCTCAACCTTCCGGAAATATGGTGCATGTCATACATGAGGTTAGTACAATACTTTTTATTTGAGTTAATTGTAAATTATACATTATTCATATTCTCTATTTTTTTTCCATTTTTAAAATTTATTTTTGTTTCTGGTTTGTTTATTGTTATTAATATTAATGTTTTTCAATGTACTGATGCATTTAATGGAATACATTTTAAATTTACTGTTTGGAATACATTAACACATTTTTTAAAATTGTAAGGTTTCATTAAGATCCCATTATTCTATGCCTGAAGAATACAATCTATAATTTGTTGAAAGTACTTGTAATAATGTTTCAAATAAAAAATAATAATGCTAATAGACAAGTATTAATATTTTTCTTAGTTTTTGGCATCACAAGAAGCAATTTCAAGCCCAAGATCTTTACATTTTTGGACTCCCCGGGACCTTGAAATTTTTTTTCTGTATGTATGGATATTAGTGTGTGTGGGGGGCATGATTTTGTTCTGTTCACCCATTTTGAAGCTTACTAACTCATGTCTTTTATTGAAAATTTCTGAAATTTTGCAGAAAGGTTTGTAAATTAGGGGATTAATGCTATTAAATTTTGGTGGTTAAAGGTCAATGAAGTAGGGAGTTATTAAAGGGGGGTCACGTGTTATATCTCAAGTAGGGTCAGACCTAATGAAAATTTTACTTGTTATTAGCATTTACAATCTTTTATAAAACCCATTTCTACCCTCAAAATTAAGCTTTTTGTCATTTTATAATAATTATAATATTTTATTTCGAAAACTTTTTATATTTTTAACAGGTGGTACCATCAAAATTTTAAATGTTGCTGGGAAAGTTATGAACTTATTGCTGGATTTGTTATTTTTAAGTCTAAAGAAATCTGAAAGTGGACTCTTTTATTCTGATAAAGTTGAATTTCTTAACATTATGGTTATTGTTATTTAGCTGTTTGAGTTAGTTCATTTTGCTAACCTGTAAAACATTACCATCTTATTTGTTAGATTAACATATTGTATTTATCCAAAATGGAGATTGTTTAGTAGCTAAATGAAGACTCTTTCTTAGACTGTAAGCAATACTTTTTAAACAATCCATGTCTCCTGTACTTTGATGTGTAAGTTGTAAATATATAGTATAAAGAACAGACTTATTAATGTTTATTTTCTTATTCATTTTGGTAAATTTTCCTGTAGGTCTAGCATGCAAATAGATGGGATAACAAAACAGACATTAAGAAGTCTGTTTTGTTACCATGTCAGTAAACTTAACTTCCTGATGTTAGATCTAGTGTGTGAATAGGATAACAAAACAGACTTACTAATATCTGTTTCATTCTCCATTTTTGTAATTTTTCCTTTACCTCAGATGTGTAAAAAAACAAAATAACAAAACAGAATCACTAATATCTATTTTTTTATCCAAGTTGTTAATTTTCCCAAAAGGTCAAGTATGTAAACACATGGTAAATAAATCAGACAAAATAACTTCTACTGTAATCTGTTTTGTTAATTTTGCCTTTAAACCTAGCATGTAAATAGATAAGATAACTAAACAGAATTTATTAATGTCTATTTTGTTACCCATTTTTTTACTGTAACCTTTAGGACTAGTTTATAATTATAAAATTTACCGAAATTATCATCTAATTTTATTACTTCACATCTACTTTTTTACAAAGTCGCTCAAAAAACTCCAATCTCTCTTTTTTCATAAAATCCACAAAAGGAAACCCTTGTTTCAAAGAGTTTGTGGAGCAAACAGTTTAAATATCTTTGCTTCCACAACCACAGATAATCAATGAAAAGGCTATTACAGGTGTGCCATTTGCCCTTCCATCTGGCACACATGCAACAGTAATGAGCATTATTGTGTCACATGTGAATAACAAAACAGAAAAAAGCCATATTATTTTCATAATATACATCTTTGAATATATAAATACCTGAGTATCAAAAGTCCAAACAATTTTAGTTTCACCAGGAATATAATGTTGAGGATCATCATAAAATTTTTCAATTACTTCATCTTTCCATACTTTAATTTCTTCTTTTAATACTTTCAACCCTTCTTTCAAATAATAGAGCCTACTTTTATCTTGTCGTGAACGACGTCCTTGTCTAATATCTCTTTCCCAAAAATTCCGTGTTGACAGGATCACAATTCCTGGAGCAAATCTTTGTAAAGTACTTCTTGAAATCAAACACTTTTGTAATATATTTACAGTTATCATCATAATATTTCTTGAGTAGTATTAACTAAAAGAAATTATTTCTTTAATTATATATTTATTTTTTGATAAAAAGAAAATTCTAAAATTATGATTTTTATTACATAAATGTAACGTAAGATAATATTTAATTGTTATGTATAACATAATATTTAATGTTATGTATAACATTAAATATTATATTATGACAAACATTATGACAAAACTGACAACAGAAAAAATAAATATTATTTTTCCTGTTGTCAATTTTTTGAATTTGAATTTATGTATTCTATTTTATGGAATGCCGATGTTCCAATTCTCTCGTTAAACCTGAGGATGGCCTATAGAATAGGCTGGAAATGTTAGTTTTCAATAAAACTATCTCGGCAACATAAAAGGTGTGTTATGATAATCTATTTGCTGGTTTAATTTTGAAGGTTTTGTTGGTGTTATGTAACATAACAAATAATAAATTATATTAATAAATTCATTCTTCAAATACATGGTACAATTGCAGATCTGAATGACACTCTTAACAGAGCTGCAGACCATGTCCATAGGAGCAAAAGTGTCAAAGGAATTATACCTCTTCATGCAACCCTTTGTGAGATAGAGCTCCCAAAAATCAGTCTACTTCCAAGGCACAATTGGGAGTCATGCTGTGTGCTCTACTAAATGGGGCCACACACATTAAGGAAATCCTTTGAGGAATAACTATGCAGGCCTGGCCTTGAGGAAATTCAGAATTTCCTATTGTCCACACATGAGAAGGAAAATCTCTGTTAGTCAGTTGGCCATGCATCTGATGACGATGTACTGGCTGTTCTTGGATGTTTATTGGAAACAAATTGTATTAAAACTCGCGAGAAAAACATGTGCATAGAAGTGTATGGTGTAAATAGTAGTAGTAGTAGTGGTTTGGGTAGCACTGATCACAAAATTTAATAATTCTCAACCACATCCGTTAGTACAAATTGTAAAAATTATTATAGCAAATTAATTTAATAATTTAATAATTAAAAAGAATTTATTAAACTTTGTCTTATTTGTTAAAATATTATTTTAAGTTGTCATGTTTTAATTTACTTGGATAATAAAACAATAAATTTTTTAAAATTTAAAAGAAAATGATATAGAGTATCAAGATGTTTTATGAAAACTGAAGAAATGAATTGAGAAGTTTTCTAAATATTAAAATTATTTATAATTTTAATTTACTTGAGAAATTTTTGATCTGAAATTAATTTTTCAGGTTATAAATAATAAAAGTTAATAAGGTTATAGAAAATAATTCTTCCAAACATTCATTAGACATTGTTCTCAGTACTCAGAGGCCTCACAATTGAACGTCAGGATGGCACACACGTTACGGTTGGCCTGCGCTGTCCAAAACTGTGCAGGAAAATCAAAGGGTTTTTTGTTTCTACTCTGGTGGCCTGTACAGGCTGCCGAAACTGTACAGTTTTCCCCACACACTAACAGAAATTCCTCAAGGCCTGTGCAGTTATTCCTCAAAGGATTTCCTTAACATGTGTGATACCTTTAAGACTATCATGTTTAATTATTCAGCCCTGTGACTGTGCCAGCTTTGAATAGCCCACTCAAATGTTCATGAGTACTTGATGTTATATAGCAGGGGTGGTCAAACCATGTCACAACAGGAACTATATACTGCTTATCAGAAATACACGAGAACTGCTTATCAGAAATACTCAAGAATTGGAATGCCTATTGCAAAACCATTTATAGTATTTTCACTATATATAATATAATTACAGTAGAGCCTTGAAAACTCTGCCTAATGTGGACCGAAGGGTGGCCGAGTTTGTGAAAATGCTGGGTTATCGGGAATGGGGTTAAAAAAAATAAGTATGAGTGTTTCCTCAGAAAATACTGTAATGTACTTGTATGTATTGTTTACTTGAGAATACAACAGAGAAAAAACTGCCCAAATACCCTTAAACAAAGGAAAAGTACATCCTTTATGAAGGCATAGAGCGTTTACTACATAAAAATGAAAATTAATGAATACGCTGTGTACAGTAATTTACCTGATAAGACATACCTCAGAAAAATACTTTATGAGGCATAAAGCTGTCTATAATGAAAATTAATTAACTAAGGGTTTTTTGCCCTGCCAGGGTGTGGCCGAGTTATTCGGAGTGCCGGGTTATCAAGTGCCGAGTTTTCGAGGCTCTACTGTATCACTATTCCATAGTAAATATCACTGTTACTTTGCTTTACTTCCCTAATCATCATAAAGTACAATAATCATTTAGCTCCTTCGACTTTATGAATACAACCTAAGTTTTCAGTTGCTCGTTTGAGATTAAGTTGAGAGATTCACTTATAATTTCTGTTTATATTACACTACGTAATAGCCCAAAAACTTACAAAAATATTAGGTTCTTTACTGTTAATGGGATGCGATAGTCTTAGTGACATCCAAGTTGCTCCACTAAAACTATCGCATTTAACTATTTAGCCCATGCAATTGCACCGGCTTTGAGTAGCCCACTCGACGTTATATAGTTTTAAGGGGTGTGGGGCTCACCCCACCCGGTCACCGAGCCACAAGCAATAGCAAGAACCGAAACGCAAAGTGCACGACTGCGTGCTTTGCACGTAGTCGTGCACTTTGGTGTAGAATAAGCAGTATATCGATACGCACGTTAAAACTTGATCTTTTGCAGCCGAATATCTCTCAAAGGGTCAACAATTCCGGGCGGTGCAAAACCCCTCATTCCCAGCTCGAATCTTACCATATTGGTCAATGTCCCGTTAATAGAAAAGTATCGAACAGAGGCAGTAGTACCAGTTCAAGTTTACAATCAGTAAAGTTAATGCATTTCTTATTTATGTTATTGGTACCAGTTATGCCCAGCGCCATACACAAACATAACATCTGCAAGCAAGAAGGCAGCAGGATCTGCCTCCAAATGTGGGTTTCACATTTGGAGGCAAATATATATCTCTCAAAGGGTCACACGTAGATGTGCGATCTTTTACTTTTCTTTTACTTTTTTGCTCTTTTAGATATGGCCTACAGCTCCGATAAGGTCCCAATAGTGTCATTTAGATCTGCAATCTTACCGAACACATTCAATATAATTAAAACATTTTTATATTAAACAGAAAATAAAAATTTTAAAAATTTCTAAGACAATTTAAAGAATTTTGTATTTATATATAATAATAACGGTACAGAGTGCAACTCTGAACCAGGCAGTTGGAACCTTATCAGATTTGGGGGGGTGTAAACTTTGAGGGGGCAAATCCCTCATTCAGAATTGCAATTTTACTCACAAATAACATAGGTTTGTTTAGGTAGAAATTATTTTTATCAACTAATAAATTTCGCGACTACATAATTCATATCGTAACTATAATGTAAACAAACAATCTTTAATTAAAGTTTTGTTTAAACGATTAATTGGTTACCTCTTTCGAGAAAACACGTGAAAATTTCGTACAGTCGCCATTTTTTTTGTAATTCCTCCGCTCGTCGTCAGAGGGAGAAGCGACATCGGTAACGTTCTAATAAGCCGTAATAGTCGGAAGGGCTGTATCGTAATTAATTTTTATTAAGAATTTTCTGTTGTGGGAAGAAAATAAGTGAAACGAAATGGGGAATAAGTCTTCCTTGATGCTTCAAGAAGAAGAAATCGCCGAAATTCAACAGGAAACTGGATGTAAGATGATTATATATTTGTTTTAACCTCGCCCAACCACTATGCTAGTTGCGCTACAATGAATTTGTCTGGACGAATTTTGCCTTGTCAATTATAACCTTATTTCACTTAAAATTCGGGTCAGCTCCAGTTTTTAGGCCATTTCGTGGAGTTTGCATTATTCGAAAGCAAAAATTTGTATATTTTATGTAGAACAGCTGCAATTTCAAATGAATTAACATAAGTATATTGTTTTTATTTATTGTTTAATTAAATAAGTTTTTAATTATTTAATGTTAGTCAGTTGTAACACACTGCAGTTTTTCAACATTGACTGAAGCAATGAAATTGATAGATGAATTATCAATCAAAATACAAATATTGGATGAATAATATTTAATAAATGTATCAGGTCAGTCCATAATTTCGTGCACATTTTTATCTACAAAAAAAGCAACAAAAAATTTTAATTAAATTTTATTTCAATCTATAATGTATTCATCATTATTTTGTACAATTTCTTGCCATCTTGATGGTAGCTTTTTAATCCCATCTTTGTAAAATGATTTCGGTTTTGAATCAAAATATTCAGAAATAGCTTTTTTTACCATTGTTCTCATCCTCAAAAGTTTTTCCTTTTAAAAAATTCTGCAAACTCCAAAAAAGATGATAATCACTGGGAGTAATATCTGGCAAATATGGTGGATGAGGTAAAATTTCCCAGTTGAAGTTTTAAAGTTGAACAGTTGACGTTGTTGTCAGTTAGTTATTGACAGTTCATGTGGTATCCATTTTTCTAGCTTAGAAACTTTTCTGATTTGTTGTAGATGTCTATGAACAGTTCCATGGGATGAATTTAAACGTTCCGCAATTTCATCAACTGTTAAAGATGGTTCTGCTTCGACTATTGCAGAGAGAGCATCATCATCAAAGTCAACGGGTCCTCCAGTACGAGCCTTATCCTCCACACTAAAATCATTATTTCTAAATCTTTCAAACCACTTCTGCACAGTCCTTACACTTGTTACAGTTTGATTATAAGCAGTATTTAATTTTTTGGCTGCATTTGTAGCATTCTCACCACTTAAAAATAAAAAGTATAAAACATGTCTCTTATATTCATCTGTTACTTCCATTTTAACGAAAATAAACAACTGAAATGTTCCCAATTCTGAACAATATTATATGAATGGGATCCAATTTAACACTTCAGTGTAAAAAGTATCACATTAGACTGGCATTTTTAACAGCAAAACAAGATTTTACTCAAGGTCATAAAAATACGCAGGAACTTATGGACTGACCTGATATTTGGGGCATAATACCGTTACCCGAAGTATTTTTATTTATAGATCTAAATAATGCGCTCTTGTTTCTCGTCAAAAACCTCCTCCGGAGTACCGAGTTAAATTTGAAATGTTACCGTAATTGAATACGTAAGCGGTGAGTTTTGCAGGACTCGTCGCCGAGTCGATGGCGTGAGACGAGTCCTCCGTACAGTGGTGGCCTTAGGGGGTGGCAAGCAGGGCAATCGCCGGGGCCTCGCTCTTGGAGGAGCCTCGCGCAACAACCAAGTAGAAAAAAGTTGATATTTGAAACTTTTTATTTTATCCTTTTATTTTATCCTTATTAAAAGTTTTATCCTAAAACTTTTTATTTTATCCTTAAATTTATTTCATTAGTTATAACAATGAAATAAATTTAATTTATAGTACAGTATATATTAATATTAATAAGTGCCTACTATTTCAATTCACATACTTTGCGCAAAGGACAAGGGCCTCGCAAAGATCTGCTGCCAAGGGCCTCGCAAATATCTGCCGCCCGGAGCCTCGCAAAGGATAAGGCCGCCGCTGCCTCCGTATGGTCGAAACTGGGCACTCGCATATTTGGTTATTGAAATGTTACGTTTGCATATTTATACTTGAAATGAAAAATAGTTTTTAAGTTTGTTAGCTGTCTAAATTTCAGGTGTAAATTTCATCATGTACAATTATTTTTTTTATTTTGTAAATTAGATGCTTTTATTTAAAAAGAAACTTCCTTTTTTTTTTCAGTATTATAATATAAATTTTAAGTAATGAAGATCGTTCTAACAAGTTGCAGTGTTCTTTTAAATCTTTTTTTAATTCTGGTTAAGGACTGATAGTAGATGGTTTGAAGATAAAACCTTTGTTAAAAAAGGAGCAAACTGATGATATACTTTTATAAACAATAAAAAGACAGTAAGACTATACATAGATGCCAATATTCTATTATAGGATCTGGCACCACTAAACAGATTAAAACATTGTCTTGCTAAATGAGAGCTAAATGTCTTGCTGTTCAATACTGTTTTGTACAACACAAAACTTACAAATAGTGATTCTTTATTTAAACTTCAACTTCTTGATGTTTTCAGTCTAATTCAGGGTTGGCCAACCTTTTTAGCAGGCACGCCAAATTTCAGAAATAATATTTCCTGCCGGGCCACGCACCTAATTTTTTTTTTGTTAATTAAAGTAAACAAGCAAGCGTGCTACAGCTTCAACCACATCGTTGCTTTCCAGTAGGTGAGATTGTGGTCAAACACTTGCCTGGTTTAATGTAAAAAAAAAAAATAGGTATATTTATTTTTTGAAGAAAATAAAACATAACCGAGAATCATTTATTTAATAACCAAGAAACATATTTATTAGACAATTTAAAAATATTTAAAAGTGAGACATCTGACTTTGTTTTACAGAACTAAGTGCATCAAAATTGATCTCAACTGATGTCACTACACACAAAGTTTTCCAAATGAGCATCAGTAATTCGTGTTCTCACTTGTGATTTGATGTACTTCATGCGACTAAAAAGTTGTTCACACACATAAGTGTTTCCAAATAGTGAAACCATAGACAGAGCATGTTTGTAAAACGCTGGATATTTGTCCTTGTCCAAATACGTTTCATAGAACTCATCCAATCCTTCTTAACTCTTCTAATGTTCATTTGGTGATATGTACAGTACAATAAAGTTAACATTTATGTTTATTTGACCTAGCTCCACAAGCCCCATGTTGGCCATTAATACACCATAGGAAATCAAATATGAGCAAATAGAATGTTGCAATGGAATGAATTGAAAATTTTAAAATAACTAACTTCTAAAATGTAAACATAAAATAATCAAGAAATAAAACAAAATAAAATGATGATCATCTTTATGCTTACAGTCCCATTCTATCTGTCAAAGTTTCATCACAAAAGAGTCAGTATCTCCATAGTTTAGGCAAACTTTTTATTTTTTGTTTATAAATCTCTATTTTTTCTCCCATGAAACACCGAACTGAGGATGTGATGTAACATAACTTTAGCATTCTCCTACAGAACTGTGTCCTCTATGCTTATGAAGTTAGCTAATACTGTATTCATCCACTGTTGGGTGCATCATATTTGTGCTCTTGTAACCTTTGTACAAAGTTCTTCTTTGTGTAATGTATGTATGCTGTTATCATATTGGCACTTCTGATTCTGGCTGGTGTCATGTATAAATCTGTTTTGTGTGTCCAGATTCCTTAGGATCTTGTATACAGTCGACCCCCCTATAATTACGATTCCTATAAAACTACGAAAAAATTGCTACCGGTATCCGTAAAAAATAGTAAAAGTTCCCTATAAACACCTCAAACGTCATCGGGAAGCCGAACTACTTTCCCGCCGTCCGTAGCGCCACGCTACGGAGAGATTTCTATCGTCTGGACAGTATTATATAAATTATATATAAATTAGGTACTGTACATATAATTATATATTAATTATATATAAATTAGGTACTGTATATATAATTATATATTAACTTATTGTAACTTTGTTATAATTAAATATATAATTTCCGCCGTCTAGCGTGGCGCCACGCTACGGAGATTTTTACGCTAACTATCGTCTGTCAGTATGTAAATTAGGTACCGTAAGTCTAATACAGTACTGTAATTTTATACATTTCTTGTGAAAGAAACATTTCTTATTCAACGGCGATTAAAATTATTTATATTAATGATGTCTCCGAAGTTCTACGAAGTTTTCACAGAAAAATAAGTTGTTAGAAATCGGCCGCTCTTTGCTGAGCTGTTCCGCGACGAAAACAATGTTGAGCAATGGCAATGTCGAATGGTGACACTCGGTAAGTAATCCTACAATTTTTTGTTTATAGCGTAGTTTATACGGATTATTCCCAAAAAATATATACGTATTTTGGAAATGTTGAGTCGGATTAGTCTAGAATCGATTAATTTTATGGAAGAAAATCTTTCAAACAGCCGTAGTCCGTAAACTTGACACGTGTCGGGTTGTGATTGGAAGGATTCGTAAGAAATCGGATTCCTAGAGAATGGAACGTATCTCTATCTTATAGGGGGGTCGACTGTATTGCGTTTGTAAATGATTTTAAATGTTGTTTCTTGGCCAATTTATATATTAGTGCCATTATCTTAGAGAATGTGAATTTCTTATAATTATCACATTGATGTTGTCTTCTGTTGTGATGGAAAATCTGTCTTGTTTTCTGTATTCTGGTGAAGTTGTTATTTCCATATACCTTCAAGTTCTATATTTCTGTCCTTATTGCTTGTGCAGTGCATGTGTGCTCTTTTTATTAATGTACAGAAAGCCAATAGTTTGTAAACCTTGTTGGTCATTCAAGTCTGGTTCAATGTAAACATGAGCCATTTCTTTCCTTATAGAATTCCCCTTTTTTGTTCCAAGAAAGAATAAAGAAGAATTACTTTATGTTGAAAATGACATAACTTCTCAACTACTTCTTTTTATACTTCATATAAACAAAATAAACACTGCTTTTACATAAAGGTTGTGTTTGTATTTGAGGACAGGTAATAAATCAAATAAAGCAGAAAATAAAATAATTAATAATAATAATAGATAAATAGATGGCTTATTGTGAGGTTGTTTTATATATTTGTAGTCTAATTTGAATGGTTATAGTATTTACAAACAACTGTCACTATTATATGTACTGTTTAGTTAAATATATGTAATTTA